ACATGTGCAGTAAAGCATAAATTGAGCAAGTATATTATGATTTACATTATAACTATAAGCTGTTAAGGAAGATTTAATGCGTTTATTATATAATACCAACTTTAGATACAATTTGTCTCCAATAAAGAAACTGAAAGCAAAGTAGTTCTGTAGGATTATTTCATTGCACCTATTTCTCTATAGTGTAGATTTCTATAACGTTAGGCAATTTTGAAAAAAAGTGTTTCACTGCACCTTATTCTTATCATCATATCAATTCCTATATATTTTTAAATGTTCTAATAACCATATAGTTAACATCTAAAGATTTAAATTAGCGTTAAATTGAAAGAAAATTGAGAAAGAAAAATTGTTAGAAATGGGTTTTGACGGAAAACTTGATTGGTTTTCAAATTCCTTCGAACGTGATATCATAGCTAACACTACGTTTCCATTAAAAAGCTTTTGATAATAAGAAGATACTGCAACCACATAAATTTCATGATCCAATACAATCCAAAAATTCAAAATTAATACTATTGTATTGTAACACAAAGGTTATTAGTGGATTGTTTAACTATATATACTGTTGGCTTTCAAATGGGTGACAGTGTATGCAGTGGAGTTCTCCACTCAAGAGAACTGGAAAAATCTGCATTTTATAGACTTACTATGACTATGTTGACTGAGTTATAGCTATGATGTAGTCCATAGTTTGCAATAATGTGTAAAATACTTAGAAATTAATAGAAATTAATATATACTGTTAGATAGTCAAGTTGCTTTGAAGTTGTTGACTTCACTCGAATATATACATTCCTCGGTATTGGATTGTTATGCATATTTGATTGTGATGGCGACGTAGTTCAATATATGTCTTTTCTGCGTTCTTGGTACAAGGATATATATTAGTATGGTTGATTACTCTTCAATAATCTATGACACAGTTGAAAAGAGGGGTAATGATAGTGCGCTTTTTGTACTGTATTATTGTACTTTCTAGAACAATAGTTAGCTTGATAATTTGTGTAAATTTATAACTTTTGTTAAAAGATCAAAAACGCTTTCAAATTTGCAGTACACGAGTATATAAATTAACCAATAATAAATATTTTTCCCTTTAAAAAATTTTTAATGTAATAAGAACAGTGCAAGTTTACACATAATAGGTAGCTTAATTATCATATACATATTAAAATTATTATGGTTACATTACATATGTATGAATCATGTATGAAAACATTATTTATTTTTAAAACCAATTTATTTTCCAATAAACAAGCAAAGTTATGTTTTATGGAGATAAACTCTCAAGTAAGCAAAATGAATTTTATTTATTAAGAAAACGTCCTTTAACGATTATTGCTCACACGTTCACATTTTTTGCTGACAATGTTATTAACAGAGCGTAACAGTGTATCTTATCAAAAACAGAGCAGGTTGGTTTGTCATAACATTTTCAACAAAATTAAGCTGACTTTAGCATAAATTGCTGCATAAGTGAAAAAGATTTTTATTGCATTTATTAAAGGTAAGTAGAAATAGTTAAAGGAAGTGATATCAATTTTTAAAAAAAGTGATATTAAAAATGGAAAATAAAATTTTATTTTCATTTGTGTATTCCTTTCAATTTTGTGTGCTTTTTTTGGCTTCAAGGATTGCTTCAAAGATTGCTTCAAAGGAATTAAAAAGTAAAGTTGCTAATGCTTTCTCTTGTTTGCTTAACAAATGCATTTGAGGAGGAGAAAGTAAAAATGCTTTAATTTTCTTTTTATATTTTCTGAAAATGTGCAATGTAAAGTTTTTAATACGATTCATGTGTTTGTTCAATTGAAGTTCATTGTTGTTTTTAAAAATGAAAACAAATATCGATTGAGAATAGTTATTGCTTTAAGTCGGAAAAGTCTCAGTATAAAATTTTTTTAATATGAAAAGCATTGAAATTGAAATACATCAAGTAATTTTCAGTTTTTATTTCAGTTTTCTTTTCAGTTTTAACAAATTGAAGGTGCGTTGCGTGACTTGACTGGGTAAGTGAAATTTAAATTTTTTTTTAGTTTAATTCAATTTAATTTAAATTAAGATTCAATTTAAATTAAGAAGATATAATCAAAATGAAAATAAAAATTTGTGATTTAAGGTCAGTAAGTCAGTTTTAATCGTTGGTATTATATATATACTAGATAACCCGACAAACGTTGTTTTGCCTTATAAATTATTTCTAGTTTCTAGATAAATTCTAGTGTAGACAAAAAGTAACTTATTTATTATAAGTGTGTAAGTATGTGGTATATGCATGAAATAGGCATGGAGCGCTATGAACGAAAAGGAAAATAAAAATAAACGCCAAACAATATTATTTTTAAGTTATTATAGTTCATTTATTAAATTATTAATTTAAAATCAATAAATTTGTATGATACCAAGTTCCCTGGCAACAACTGTTGTATCTTCAAATTTAAATTGTCTTGGATTGACTGTAAATAATAATAATGATAATTGGCCAGTAACATTAACCAACAACAGTCGAAGATAAAAGCACTCAGTGTGTCTTGGATTAACTATAAATAAGCGTTCGATTTAAATAAATTGAGACATGCATAAACTGGTGAAACTTGCTTGCGGGGCATCCATTTTTTTTTGAGCCCATGTGAAATAGCGTGGTACTTGTGAATAGAGTAATGTTCTTGCAAAGGCACCAAAATCATCCGTACTATTACACAATTAAAAAAATGCAATGAGTGTAGATTTAGGTGGATTTGTACCACGATCAATCACTGTCTCGTTCGTGAAAAAAATACGCTGACCGTTTTCAAGATGAACGGCTACCTGAACAGCTGCTGGATCCCGTTCATGAATTAGAAAACCGAAGATACGCCAAGCAGCTTCATTGGAGCTGATGTACCGACCAATTTGGTAGAGCGTAATTTCACCGTTTTTGTTCATTGGAGGAGCATTTATATTAGTATTTTCTACTCTAAACACAGCCATATCACTGCCTTTATGGACATACTTATATATTTGATGCTCTTCACAGAACTGCAAAACTCAACATTAATAATGAGCATTGTATGTTTAGCTTAGCAGAGGCGAATACGGCACCACCCGCCATTGTCCCCCATTATCGGGATTTCTTCGACGATATATTGGATATCCGTCGGTATTTGTTATAGTATCATTAGTGAAAGCTTTAGATTTCAATTTTTAGTACATTTTCCATCTGCCATGCAAGGCGAAGACGAAGAACGAAGTGTATGTAAATGCTCGATGTACTTGTTGGCGTAGTTACATAAAATATTAAGAAAAAAATTTTTCTTTTTCAAAAATATAAACAAAATTTATGTCAAAAATAAAAAAATTTTTTGTTAAAGCAATAAGGATATTTTTGCTAGGTTGGGACTCCCTAATCACTTTAGCGGTATGAAAAATAGATAGTAGCCGATTCTCAGACCTACTGAATACGCATATAAAATTTGGTAAAAATCGGTAAAGCTGTTTCGGAGGAGTACGGTAACTAACATTGTGACATGGAAATTTTATATATAAGACCGCAAACAGACATCGTTTGGCCTTGTGACTTATTGATGGTCTTTGCAAATGCCAATCTAATAGAAAATTGAACGTGTTTGAATTAAATTGGCTTGTCTGTGAGAATCATTGGAATTCGTGGCAATAAAACTTTTTCGTTTCGGACCTTGCGATTCAAAATGGTGGCTTCGATAATGTTTTTCATCAATTTTTTAATTACCAATCGCGTACTATTGCATAGCCGTGGTGGGTTCAAATTCCGAAGTAAAATAATCGGTGATCCAACTTTCAGTCGTAAAATGTGTGGTGGGATGCCTGGCAAATCCAGTGAGTTTAAAAATTCTGCTGGATAGTTTACAACTTCGTTGGTATCACAAACTGTATCGATCGATTTGTATGATATTAAGTCGCCTGGCAATGTCTGCTTTATCTTGAAGTTTAATTCATCAACGTCCACGTTTTTTTTTGCTGCTAATGGCTTTTTCTGCCAGCCACCCATGATTTATGTATTGTATGTGTACATCTGGAAATACGCGGTCAATGAGAGCATTTTGGGAATCAACGATAGTGCAAAAATTAGGGGGCAGTTTTATGAATTCAGTATTTTCATAGACAACAACTTTTCATATTATAGCAAGTTTACTTTTTCAAAAATATAAAAAAATTTATGTCAAAAAAATAAAAAAATTTTTGTTAAAGCAATAAAGATATTTTTGCTGGATAGGGACACCCTAATCACTTTAGCGGTATGAAAAATAGATAGTAGCCGATTCCCAGACCTACTGAATACGCATATAAAATTTGGTAAAAATCGGTAAAGCCGTTTCGGAGGAGTACGGTAACTAACATTTTGACAAA